GGCGCTGTAGTCCGGCCGGCCGCGGAGCATGCTGGGGGCTGCAGTCCACCGCGGCAGCCTCCGACAAGATGGCGGCGGCAGGGCCGCCCCGCGCCGCCATGGGCATTGCCGGAGGCGGTTCCTTCACCTCTTCGTGAGAGAGGCCGGGTGGAGGCTGCGCTCACGGGGAGAGCGGGGGGGCGGCAGCTGTGGGCTGCAGGCCGCGTCTTCCCCGAAAACAAGAAAGCCTGGGAATTAGCGTATAAATGGAAGGAACCACGAGGAATTGAGTGTCGTACACAGAATTGTGAGATACTGTGAAAAATAAATATTTATCCTGGATATTTGTACCAGCCTCCAGAGGAGAGCAGGGCAGGCAGTGCTGCTGGGTGCTGGTGCCAGTGCTGCCTGTGCTGAGAAACCCCAGGAGAGCAGCGAGGGGACCCGGGCAGCCCGACTGCTGCTTCCCACTGCCTGTTCTTTGGGTTCGTGCTACCTGGAACAGTGGTGCCCGCGGGTGGGAAACTGTTTAAAGTAAACATGGCTTGTTTGTGCATCCATCTGTTGGTGAACAGCCTCCTTTCACGTGTGCTGTACAGGAAAATACCTTGACGTTTCTCAGATGTAATAGTTCACACAAATTAAGAGTGAAAAATAGCAGTGATACCAGAAAGGCCATACTGCTTTTGTGTTTGTAGAGAAGAGAGAATACTTGGCATTAAAGAATAAGCTGAAAGCTAAAATTTTCAGCATTTTATCACATTTTCTGAGATGGTAATTTCACTACTTTAGAAATACTGACTGACAGCACTCAAATTAAGTTTTTGATAGAGTGTCAGACATTCTTATGTTGTAGACAGCTCAAAAATCTTTTACCTTGAATGCATGAGATAGGATGGGATCCATCTGCTGTAGGAAGTTATCTTTCAAAAGCAGGTAAGAAAACATACTAGACACACAAGATTCATTAAGATATGTAAACTGTATCAGGCAAAAAGCATCTAATGTCTCCACCTCTGGCAGGGGAAAGAAAACATGCATCTCCTCTGCCTGTGCCTTTTGCAGCTGCTTTGTTCATAAATACAGAACGACAAGTTCCAAGGATAACAAATTGACCTCTAAAAAAGCATTAAATCTTTAAGTCAAAAAACCTGAAGATTGCATGGGAGATGGTCTATTAATGCTCTTAACCAACATGCCTTTCATCTTGACTTAACAATACTCCTCTGGCCATTTCCTTCTAACTGTCTGTTAGACACATGGGGGTTTCTGTAACAGATTGTGACCATGTTTCATCTCGATTATTTGCCTTCACAGATGTCAAGCACCAGATGCTTCAAAGCATGTTTAACTCAAGCAGATCAGGCACAGTGCAGTGTGCTTATGGGCCTACTCTTTGAAATATGGCAGTTTCCAGAGATACGATTCAGAAAAAAAACAGATGGATGCATGTCACATACCAGAAATAGCTGTATAGTCTCCCACCTTTCTGGTGTGGTATTGAAAACAGAAAAGTGAAATGAGCAGAAACTTTTGGAAATGGCTGTTGCTGAACAAAGGCAAAAGGCCACAGACAGATAGGAACTCTTTTGCATGGAAATTTCGAGGAAGGAAGAGTAATCCCGGACATGATTTAATACTAATTAAGACACCATTGGGTTTAAAATAGAAGTAACCAGGGAGAAATTATGAGAAAAATACTGATGAAGAGGTTCAAGGACTTGGATTCATGATACATGTAAGACACTCATAATTAAGAATTTTAGGAGGAGACTATGTGTACCATAAATATCAACATTATATTACATAATCTTGTGACTTAGATCATGAAAAAGTGAATAAATCAAAGTGATTTATTGTCATGCACACCATGAGAATGAACTGGCAACCAGGGCACAAGGGTTTTCTAACTCTAAGCAATTACTGGCTACCAGCTACACTGAAGAATGTTGCACATATCACCATTAGAATATACATAAATATAAATTATATTTCTATTCCCATAGAAACTGTATAGGTGCACACGGTATACAGCTCTTTGAAAGCTGAATTCCTAGCTTTGATAAGGAAAGCATTCCCTTGCATCACTTACTATTACCATTCAATGTAATAATTCTTTGCCAAGGGGAGTAAATGTGAATATCCCATGTATATTCTCCAGCTGACCTACCGTATTAAATAAGGCTGTTCCCCTCCTACTAACCTTAGCTGTAAACAAGATTAACATTTTTAGTCTCTTCTTGTATACCACCCTTTCCATCCATTCAATCTTATTCATTGTCTGCTTCTGCATCTTTTACGTTTTAAAAAGAAAACACTTGGTGTAAGTGGAACAGGGATGCTGTAAACAAGTCATGATAGAAATGCATAATAATATTCCATTCTTCTGAGACTTAAAACATAAATAAAATGTTAAAATTATCACTGGGAAGTGAAAATACTCACTGGCTATGTTGTCCGTGGCAGTAACTGTATTTCTTTTCAGATTGTTCTAGTTATCATATGACACCCAAACAACAAAGACTGTTCTGAGCATTATTTATTCCCATGATTATTACACCAAAATAAACCTCTTTTTACTTTTTATACTGAAATGCTTTTGACTCTAGATATACATGGTGACTAGACCGAGCTGGTCCAAATTTGACAAGCTCATCCTTGTTTTAACCAGCCTCTGGAGAATACCATTTATACCTTTGGTGCTTTGTTAACTTCTTATTAATCAGACACTACTACACTGAGATGCCAAATTTTTGCTTGAATACTGAAGCCGTGCCAAACTGTGCTGCTTTACTGTCTTGTTGAAAATGAGATTGCCTGCTTTGTCAGAGAAATTTTCACAGGCAGCAAATACACTGCTAGTGTGGGTAGGAGAGCTTTACAACCTGTGTTCTAATGCCATGAGCACTATAATTTTCAGATACTATCTCCATCTTCCTCTCAACTACAAATTTTCCAGTGTGATATATTAACATGGTAATTCCAGCTGAGCTGCTGGATGACCATTTTGACATGGGTCTTGCCAAGCCAACATGCTACTGAAAGCAACACAAAGGCTCGATATAGCTGTGGGTTTATATTGCTGAACACTAGAGTTGGGTAGTCTCAGGCCACCAGCCAGTAGACTGGCCTCAGACAACATCCTGAGTCTCTTTCTGACAGGCTCCCTCAGCACCAACCTCCCTCCACTTCTTAACTATTCCCTGTAACACTTGCCTTTAGTGGGAGACCTTCATTTAGGAATCACCCATTCTCCACTGCGTAAACCAGCAAGCAGTTCTGTGCTGTTTGCTGCCTTGGTGTCCTCAGAACTGGTGGGGTGTTCTCAGAGCAGGGGTAAAACCCTTCAGAGGTGCCTTCTTGGTGACCTCTCAGAGCTCTGACCCACTCCTTCACACACCAGGTCCCCTCTTCTCCCCCTCTTTGTCTCTGTGGTTCCTCACAGATGTGTAAATGCTTCTATAAAGCTCTCTATTCCCATCCTGGAGATGCTCCTCTGCCCAGATCTTAGCACTCTGCACACACATTTGAACAATTTGTTTCCCCCAAAGCTGCCGCCTGCCTTCCTTCCTTCTCTCCCTGCTCGGGCCGAATTTGCTGCTGTTGACGATATGTAGTTTTTGCTCTTTTAGATGCAGGCGTTTGGACACGGCCCCCGCAGCTCCTCACCATGAGCAGGCAGCAAAACTGCCACAGCAGCAGGGGTGCGGTGGTGGTGACCGAGCGCGGGCTGAACGCACCGGAGCGGCTCCCTGGCTGAGGTAACAACCGGCCCGGGGTCCGCTTCGGCGGCCCGGGGGAAGGGCGGGCAGCCCGGCAGCGCTAAGCGCCCCCCCGTCCC